TTGAGGGAGTATGTAATGAAAGAGGCGGGATTATAAAAAATTTACAGGAAGAGGCATGTCGGTACTTCGCTGATCGTTACGCCAAAATGTCTGCCCATAAAAAATGCCGTTGAAAGTAAAATGACATTGTTTTTGTAATGAGAAGGCATTTTACATTTTATGAAAATTTTATTTTTCTTCCAACAAATTAAGAAGTTATAAGCAGAATAGGAACTACAAGGAAACCATGGCCAACAATCAGAGAGTTATAGCTTAAATTCTGGGGATACATAATCGGGAAAGAAGGCTTGGAGAATTCAAAACTCACAATGCATATAGAAACGAAAGGTGAGTAAAAGATGAAAACTGGGCGTAACCTATTTCACAGGTTTGAGCAAATTATTTAGGAACAGGTACGACAATATTGATGAGAGAAAAAACAGGAAGATGTGGAGAACCGTGATCGTCAATGTCTTGAAGGATATATTATATTGCTGTTGGCAGTCTTCAAGTGATTTGGTTTCTGTTATTTGGTAGAGTTCTTTGTGAATATGTAGCGCCAGTCCACAATGTCCAAATAGAGAGAGAGAGAGAGAGAGAGAGAGAGAGAGAGAGAGAGAGAGGGAGCAAACATTTTAGATTACTAGAATAAATCAGTGATAACGAGCATCACTAGCCAGTTCCTGGAGCAAGAAACAAGTTCCCGTTAGTTTGCCATCCCCGGGAAAGTTCTGGATGTAAAACTACATTGTCGAAATTGACGCTCAACTCAGCGAAATCATTGACGGCCTCCGAGGCGTTGTGTGTAGCGAGGTAACCTTAATGCATGCCATATGGCTGAGGGGGGTGCGCAGCCTGGGTGGTGGGGAGCACATCGGGAGTGGGTGTTGATAGCGTCAAGAATGGGGATGTGGAGGTGCTTATTAAATCCATAATCAGACAAAATTTTGACACCTTTAGTTAGCTGTGTAAAGCGGCGGCGGTGTTGCAGAAGACCCAATTGGGGTGGCAGAATGACGGGGTTGGGGTGCCTTCGACATAGGGATGGGGTGGCCCGATTATAAAAAGCTATGATTATTGAGTGAAGAATTTGTAGGAGAAAAGAAATGGCTTCCGTCGGGTAGAACGAAACGGCAAGGAGTGAATGAGAGGAACATAGAAACGTGGGAGGAGAAGATAGAAGGGAAGTAAAAGACAGATAAAGAGAGGGTCAAAGTATGAGGAGAGACAAGAAAGAGATGAGATGTGAAAGGCTTGGAAAGAGAGAAGCAGGGATGAGTGTGAAATGAAAGAAGGAAAGAGAAATGTGAGAGTTATAGAAAGAGAGGAGCAAGGATAAGTGTGAGGAGAGGAAAGAAGGAAAGAGAAATGTGAGAGTTATAGAAAGAGAGAAGCAAGGATAAGTGGAGGAGAGGAAAGAAGGAAAGAGAAATGTGAGAGTTATAGAAAGAGAGAAGCAAGGATAAGTGGAGGAGAGGAAAGAAGGAAAGAGAAATGTGAGAGTTATAGAAAGAGAGAAGCAAGGATAAGTGGAGGAGAGAAAGAAGGAAAGAGAAATGTGAGAGTTATAGAAAGAGGGGAGCAAGGATAAGTGTGAGGAGAGGAAAGAAGGAAAGAGAAATGTGAGAGTTATAGAAAGAGGGGAGCAAGGATAAGTGTGAGGAGAGGAAAGAAGGAAAGAGAAATGTGAGAGTTATAGAAAGAGGGAAGCAAGGATAAGTGTGAGGAGAGGAAAGAAGGAAAGAGAAATGTGAGAGTTATAGAAAGAGGGGAGCAAGGATAAGTGTGAGGAGGAAAGAAGGAAAGAGAAATGTGAGAGTTATAGAAAGAGAGAAGCAAGGATAAGTGGAGGAGAGGAAAAGAAGGAAAGAGAAATGTGAGAGTTATAGAAAGAGAGAAGCAAGGATAAGTGTGTGAGGAGAGGAAAGAAGGAAAGAGAAATGTGAGAGTTATAGAAAGAGAGAAGCAAGGATAAGTGTGAGGAGAGGAAAGAAGGAAAGAGAAATGAGAGTTATAGAAAGAGGGGAGCAAGGATAAGTGGAGGAGAGGAAAGAAGGAAAGAGAAATGTGAGAGTTATAGAAAGAGGGAGCAAGGATAAGTGTGAGGGGAGAGGAAAGAAGGAAAGAGAAATGAGAGTTATAGAAAGAGGGAAGCAAGGATAAGTGTGAGGAGAGGAAAGAAGGAAAGAGAAATGTGAGAGTTATAGAAAGAGAGAAGCAAGGATAAGTGTGAGGAGAGGAAAGAAGGAAAGAGAAATGTGAGAGTTATAGAAAGAGAGAAGCAAGGATAAGTGTGAGGAGAGGAAAGAAGGAAAGAGAAATGTGAGAGTTATAGAAAGAGGGGAGCAAGGATAAGTGTGAGGAGAGGAAAGAAGGAAAGAGAAATGTGAGAGTTATAGAAAAGAGGGGAGCAAGGATAAGTGTGGAGGAGAGGAAAGAAGGAAAGAGAAATGAGAGTTATAGAAAGAGGGGAGCAAGGATAAGTGTGAGGAGAGGAAAGAAGGAAAGAGAAATGTGAGAGTTATAGAAAGAGAGAAGCAAGGATAAGTGTGAGGAGAGGAAAGAAGGAAAGAGAAATGTGAGAGTTATAGAAAGAGAGAAGCAAGGATAAGTGTGAGGAGAGGAAAGAAGGAAAGAGAAATGTGAGAGTTATAGAAAGAGGGGAGCGGAGATGACTGTAAGGAGAGTAAAGAAGAGAGAAAATATGAAAGGGAAAGAGATTATAAAGCAAGAGTGGGAGAAGAGGAAAGAAGGGAAGAGAAATGAGAAAGGAAGTGGAGAGAAAGAATGTGAGAAATAACACACACACACACACACACACACACACACACATATATATATATATATATATATATATATATATATATATATATATGCACCGGGTGTAACAGTAAAACTGTCCAAATCGTGTAACAGCAAAATTGTCCAATTGTTAGATTAATCTTTGAACCGTTGTATCTTAGAAATGATTAAAGATATCTTACTGAAATTCTCCGAGGTATTTTATAACACAATTGGACTCGACTTTGAACAACAAGAATGCATTTACTTGAAATGATGAGCGCTTTTCCTGTTGTGAGATTCTGATCCAGGTTTCCTCTCTACTGTTCCCTCTTTTTTAAACTTATTCACCGTCCTCTTGATGGTTCTTGAATAGACTTTGAAAATGCAAGCGACAGTATGAATGCTGGTACTATTGTTGAAGGCCTGAATGATCTGTTTCCTCTCACCATTACTCATTTGGAAAGAAATAGTAGGGATGAAACAAGACGATTTTAACATATTCTCTTTTTAGCTGAATAACTCAAAGGATTTTTCAATGATTCTTACGACAATTGATGTCAAGATGGCTAAACGTCTTATCTGAAAACCTTGAAAAAAGAAACTCAATTAGATTAGTGGTTTTAGAGATATTAAACATTTTGTGGGATGGACAATTATGCTGTTAGACGATTTGAACAATTTTGGTGTTACATTGTGTATATATATATATATATATATATATATATATATATATATATATATATATATATATATATGTGTGTGTGTGTGCGTGTGTGTGTGTGTGTGTGTATGTGCGCGTGTGTGTGTGTGTGTGTGTGTGTATTTAGGCAGAAAATTCTCTTTTAGGCAGAAAAATCATTTCATGATTTTTTCACGTTCTAATGAACGCTCAGCACATTGTCAACCGTTTTGCATTTAAAAGCATAAGGAAAAAAATACGGTAATGGAAAACAACGCACAACTTTGTATAAATACTTGGGCTAATGATCAGCATATAGTTTTGTATTACTTGCACCCCTGAAGATGATCTTGAAAGAAGATCGAAAGTACTTGGGAAATGAAAATAAAAGAAATTTACACATTTATAGTATATTTCTCTCCTCCTTTAACATCAATACACGGAAGGTTATTCGTGAGTATGAACGGATTTTGTAAAAATTAGCAGACCAAATGTCTGTAATTTATCCAATCAAACATGCCTAAATATATATATATATATATATATATATATATATATATATATATATATATATATATATATATATATATACCGACATATCTTCTCATACGTGAAGTTGCTGATGTATACACTGTCAGAGAATTTATGTCTATTTTTCTTTCATCCGAATTTTGCTTTGTTTCTTTTAAGGGCCACGTCCCTTATGGACATTGGCGACCATGGCTCTTCACAACATCCTACAGTCTTAATAATTAGATAATTATGATTTTTACTACCCGATTATTCATTCTAAGCAATATTCCCGCTCGTAACACTGATTGATAATACGTCCCATGGTTATTGGAGATAATCTATTCGTAGGTTTGCTTTCCAGTGTTTCAGTGTGTAACGAGAAATCTCAGACCCGATGGTCAAAGGTTAATCTAACAATTGGGCAATTTTGCTGTTACACGATTCGGACAATTTTGCTGTTACACCCGGTATATATATATATATATATATATATATATATATATATATATATATATATATATATATATATATGTATGTATATCGAGGTCGATCCCAGCATGCGGCACATTTGGAAAGTGCCTGAAAACAATACCACGGGTTGACCCAAGCCTTGAGAGTTATTATATATATGTGTGTGTCTGTGTATGTCTGTGTGTGTGAGTATGTGTGCGTTTTGTTAAATAGAAAAGTCATGCCTATTTTAAACTATTTTTCTCTAATTAACGGATTGATTTCCTTAGATTAGAGTTAAATGTTTGAAAGGATTTTGCACAGTTCGTTTCAGTTTATTGAATATTTCAAGTTTTCGAGTGACTCCAGTTTTTGTCATGAATCAATTGGAGCTCGTATATACAGTCCATCACGAAAGATGCTGGAAAAATGGTCGATTATCTGACTCCTCCGGTCATGCTCTAACTTTAAAAGATCCAGATCAAGCCGAAAATGGAGTACTGGGCTGGTGATACCCAGTCTTAGACTTTACAGTCTTGATGGACCCGAACAGTGTTGTGCAGCGTTTTCCACCTTACAACACATTACACGCAAAGAAGTGTTGTAAGCCTCTCGCTGCCCTACCGCTGTTTCTATGGAAAATGTTAAGACAAGTTAAATTCTTTATTTCTCTGAACTCCCAGCTAAGACTCACCACGCTGCGTACATTGAGGCGAACGACTCTCATTGCCTTCGTATTCCTTTAATAAGGAATAAGTTCAACTCGGACAGCTTCTTCCCAGGAACTGCTTGCTTTGTGGAACACAATTCCATGAGGTTGATTTCCCGGCCATTACAAGCTTCAAGTTTTGGATTATCTTTCCCACATATCTGTCTAATCTGCGCCGCTGACACTTGCCACTCACCCAACAACTTTCAGTAAACCTGTTATCTTGAGAGGCTCTTGTACCTTGTATAAAGTGAATATTAGTAAAAAAAAATTCAAAGTCCATTTTCTTAGAGTCCTGTGATGACTTTGTACCTCACTTTTAAATACGAGACGATATTTAAAATTTTTGAATGCATTCGATGTCACGCGGACATAATATTATTTTTGAATTTAAATATTTTTGATGTCACATGATTGTGATGAGTTAACATATGTATGTAAAGGGTGTTTCATTAAGACGGATCAAAGTTAGCAGTAAATAAATCAGTGTTATTGGTGAAAATGTGTATATTTCTCTATTGGATAATGGCAATTATGTGTGAAAAATAATAACACCCAAATATCCGTCAAAACTTCGGCGGCACATCTCCACTCGATGGCTTAAATTTTTGATGACGTCTTTGCATAGTTGCTCCTTGATCTAACCAATATGCCTTATCTCATCCTTCAGCCGTTGAATTGTTGTTGGCTTGTTGGCATAGACCTTACTTTTGAGATGACCCCAAAGAAAGAAATCTAAAGGCGTCAAGTCACATGATCATGGTGGCCAATTGACTTCGCTGTTTCAAAAGATGATACGACCTGGGAACTTCTCATTCAAATTCTGTTCGAACGTCCATTTTCGTAATAGGCTTCGATAACTTTAACACGTTGTTTGATTGTTAATCTTTCCATGGTTGAAATTGCCAAAGACTTAAAAGTTGTTAAATCTGATAGAAAAAGAAAAAAATCATTAGACGCTTAAATTTAATTCCCATTTAAAATCGGTTCAAGTTATTGGAACATCCTTTATATATATATATATATATATATATATATATATATATATATATATATATATATATTTTACAACACATTTCTTGGTTGATCTTTGATTATCACAATGTGGGTTGCTTAATAAAAAATGATAAAAATATAAAGAAAAAGAAACTAAATGAAATCAGCTAGACATATTCTTCTTTTATGTGTCGTGTCCCTTCAGGACGTAGGCAATCATGGCTCTCCACTTCTCCTAACCCTTGTAGCTTTATACCGAAACATATTAAAACAAATGAAAAGTTTAAAATTTCAGCGTCTCCGCTCCCGCGCGTTTATGTGCAGTCACATCAACTTAAACATCACTTTAGTCCTAAGTTATATGTCCGCGTGGCCGAGTGGTTAGAACGTTGGCTTTCTGATTATAAGACCCGGGTTCGAATGTTATCGGACTGGAGTGGGCGATCCCAGCATGCGGCACCTTTAGAAAGTGCATGGAAACCACACCACGGGTTTGTGAGCCGTCCATGCCGGTGCTAGCACAAAGTCACAAGTCATCGTGACTGAGGTTTTGAGCGTGCTGGTCTTGATTAAACTAGATAACACGCTCTCTTCCAGAAACTATAACTATAGTCTGCTCAGCATAGTTGCAGTATAAAACACAGGTGGGCTCTGTGGGTGTTAAACAAACACAAATGTACCTGAGCGAGCATCTGAATTAGGGATTGGCTAGCCCCCCCCCCTAGTAGACGCGTATCCTCAAATACAAGTAGCCAGCTATTATATATATATTTGTTCAACAATATAAAATAGTTTAATTTAAATTCAATATTTAAATAAGCATTTATTTTTTTACATAACAATTATATACATTTATATATATATATATATATATATATATATATATATAATGTATTCTTATTTTTAAATTTAAATTATATATATATATATATATATATATATATATATATATTATCAATTATACTCATATTTAGCGAATTTATGGAGCTAGACACATATATACATTTATATATATGTGTCTATGTGTGCGCGCATGTGTGTGTACCTCCAAAGATTCGATAATATGAGCATACCATGATGCAAGAATGCCTCCAAATTTAATAAAACAAAGTTTTATCGTCAAATCCTTATGTTGTCATTAAGAGGAATGACCAAAAGATTTTTTGATGTAAAAATTATATTTTTTTTTAATCTTTTTAGAAAAATTTTTTTACAATCATTTTTCTTGTGTCAGGCAGTTATCATAAATTAGTATACTAAATTTTAGTGGCTTTTTGCGGTAAAAACCCCCCACAAATTTTGAAATTCTTGCAAAATTAAAATAATTGGTGGATTTTAATGAAACTTTCAGAAGTTATTCACAAATTATTTGATACACGTTTCTTGTTTTTTTTTTAAATCTTGGTAAAAATATATATAATGACACTTTTCAAGAATTGGTTTAATTTTGTAAAAAATTTAATTAGAATAATTTATAAAGTTTGAAATCGTTAAAATTCTGTAGTAATTTGTACCGGTTAGTTGAATTTGTTATTAAGTAAAAACTATATTTACTAATCATAAATGGAAAAGCTTACTTATAATTCAGCGACCTCCGACACTTTAAAAAAGATTTTTATTTTTTTGTGGTTATAAACGTACCCATTTTTGAAAATACGCATGTTCATACACGATATTATCAGCGCTAACTATAGTAAATTTAAAGTAAAAATAGCTATAATTATTAGATTACTTAGAATATTTCCTAAATTTTTACGATTACTGGTTAGTGCAGAAATTATAAAAAAGGCGAGCCTGATGTATTCGTCAATTATTTTTTACAGATATGTCCCCCGTAGAAAAAACACAACATCGTGTTAAAAATGCGATATTTAAAACTAAAAGAAAATAATAAATATTTCAAATAAGATCAATTAAACTTTAACTCAGTTAATCTTCCTCCTAGGTATATATATATATATATATATATATATATATATATATATGTGTGTGTATGTGTGTGTGTGTGTGTGTAAGTGCCAGATTTTACATTTTTATTAATCCTATCTATTATATATATATATATATATATTGTCATCTACAGACAGACAGTTTCGCTGTATCACAGATCATCAGTGTGATTAGACATCCGATTGCCTCAAGCCAGAATCGAAACCCCTAAGCTATCAGTTCCAGGCAGAGAGGAAGGTGAATTTTACATATTTATTTTTGAATAAACCAGTTACTCAGAGTCCTCGATTCATAGAAGAGCTTTTTGTATTATCAGCAGTATATATATATATATATATATATATATATATATATATATATATATATATATATATATATATATATATATATATATATATATATATATATATATATATATATATATATATATATATATATATATATATATATATATATATATATATATATATATATATATATATATATATATATATATATATATATATATATATATATATATATATATATATATATATATATATATATATATAGGGGGAAATAAATATTCGTACATATAAAATTTTAATTTATTGTATTTCCAGCTAATGAATACACATACATTTTATATATTTAACAGTAAACATATGCATAATTACTAAATATGCATAGAAAACAGAAAAAATGATGCAATAGAAATAAATTACATTCATCTATTTTAATGGATGAAAAAAGTATTCGTACAATGCAAAAAAAGAATACATAATCTTCATTTAATAATTTGTAGAATAGCCATTATTCACTTCTACAACAACCAACCCCTTCTTTTAGTTCTCAATTAATGATTTGCAAATTTTAGTTGGTATTTTGTTCCATTCTTCTTCAGATCCAGGATGTTTGTTGGTTCTCTCGATTGGATTTGAATTTTCAAATAACGTCACAGATTCTCGACTGGGTTTAAATCTGGGGACTGACATGGCCATTTCAGGATATTTACATTATTTTCAGCAAGCCATTTCTTCGTAGATTTTGTAGTGTTCTTTGGATCATTATCTTGTTGGAAGATCCAATATGTTGCCAGTAACTTTTGCAGGAAAACATCCCCAAACCATGATGCTGCTACCACCAAATTTCACTGTCGGAACTGTGTTCTTTTTTTAAAGCCATCGCCATCTTTCTTCCATACATGATTTCTAGAATTCCGTCTAAACAACTCAGTTTTTGTTTCGTCTGTTCATAATACTCTTTACGATTTTTCCTTATCTTTATGTCCACAAACGAATTTCAAACTTGAATCTCGATGTCTTTTCAGTAGTATTGGAGTTTTCCGAGGGGAGCATGAATTTAGATTGTTCCTATGAATTTCATTGCTTATTGTCCATTTAGTGACACAGATTCCTGATGAAAGCAAATCATCCTGCAATTCTTGACGAGTAACAATTGGATTTCGTTTAATTTGACACATTAATTTCCTCGAAGATCTTGAAGAAATCTGCCGTGGATCACCTGTTCTTCTTTGGTTTTCAAGAGTTTTGAGTTTTTATAGGTTGCACTAAATGAACTAATGGTACTAGGTGGAATATTCGGGTTGTCTGAGATTTTCCTGTAATTTTTACCTTCTTTCCAAAGCCTAACAATCTGTTCTACTTGCGAATTTGAAAATTCTTTACCTCTTGCCATGATGGGAAACTTCATGCAGGAATATCAATTACAGAATGTTCTGTTTGTATTTTTTAGGCTAAAAATAACTCCTGATAACATTAGTGGAATATTCTAGAATATTCCATTTGAATAATCTAGAGTATTAAAATAATTTAAAAGATTTAAAATCTGAAATTTGCATTGTACGAATACATTTTTCACACATTAAAATGGATAAATGAAATTTATTTCTATTAAATTATTTTTTTTTCTGTTTTCTGTACATATTTAGCTATTATGTATCTGTGTACAGTTAATTATATGAAAAGCATATGTTTATTCATTATTTGGAAATACAATAAATTAAAAATTTGTATGTGTACGAATATTTGTTTTTCCCACTGTGAGTATATATATATATATATATATATATATATATATATATGTACAAATAAGACAAAGAACAGATGGAGTAAACATCCACAATTCGTAGCATTTACTTTTTTTCTTTTAAAAAAGTGCTCAATTCAAAGTAGAGAAAAATATTATTCTAATATTTTTATTATAATTGATTATAATAAAAACATTTTACATTGCTACACAGAAAGTTTCATGTTTCAATACTATGAGTGCACTTCCCCAGGCGATGGTAGATAACTTATATTTTTGGTGTTCCTGTTGATGATTGGGAGTCCATAGCATTTGATCGTAGCCAGTGGAGGGCTTTGATTTTCGAAGGTGCTTAACTTTTTGAAGCAGCCAGTGCAAAGATAGCATGCAGAAAACGGGAACCTCTGCCGGACAATTGGGGAGCTGTGTGGGTCTGTGAGGTGTGTGACGGGACCCTGCTGTCAAAGGCAGGCCTGGTTAGTCATATGAACTCGCATGAAAGCAATCCAACTATACTTGTTGTCCCTCCCATGCCGCGCACTGAGTCCCAGGATAGAAAGTTTTCGTGCTCCCACTGCTCTAGAGTTTACCGATCAGCTGGTGGTCTTAAGCGTTACATAAAAGTTCACAGTAACGCCAATACCGTGTCTGTCATCTCAACCAACGCCAATGGTCATGAGTGCCAAATCTGCTCCAAGATGTGCAAGTCACTGGCAGGACTGAAGAGTCAACAGGTTCACGGACGGTCAATCAATGGAGGAGCGGCAATCGTCTGGCAAGACGTCGCAATCAACATATATATATATATATATATATATATATATATATATATATATATATATATATATATATATATATATATATATAGTTAAACCTAGATAGCCAGACAACCTACACGGTTTCACCTTAGAGGATCGTCTGCCTTCCCTGACGATCCGCTAAGGTGAAATCGTGGTAGGTTGTCTGGCTCTCTAGGTTTAACTAGGTCTGCTCTACTCATTGTATTGAGCACTTTATTTAGTTATTTTGCTTACTCGTATCGGGGTTTTTTTTTTTAGGCTTTGGACTTGGATGCTAGACGATTATTTTCGGTTAACGTACATGTTCTTGGTTCTTTCTTTATTTATACCCTTTTTTCCCTTTGGTATTGGTTTGATTATTTGCAAATCAAGACACCGAAGGTTTTCCGAACGAGTATAATTTCTTATACATATAAGATTACTACTACTACTACTAATAATAATATAAATACAAGCCTCCACTGTGAAACTACTCTACAATATATTGGCGACGAGGGATTCGTTCTCATACGGAGGAAGAGAAATTTTTCGTTCACTCTATAACAATGTTACACTTGCGAAATAAAATCCATAATCAAATGCAATTTGACAATTGATGGGAATCTTTTTTTTTATTAACTATTCTTTTTATTTGATTAACCATTCTTTTTATTTGATTCCTCACTTCAAGCCTTTATCAATTATACCACCTGCAGACCAAGCTTACAGCACTGGGTATTCCCAAGCGGTTACCCATCTAGGTATTGACCAGGTTCCACGTTGCTTACTTCGGGGATCGGATGAGAACCGGTTTCTACAGGATATGGCTGTAAGCATACACATGCACAGACGTGTATCATTAGCATATAATATATATATATATATGTCTCTTTTCTTTCTTTCTCTCTCTTTATATATATATATATACATACATGTATACATATATACATGTTTCATTAAAGACGACAGACAAGGTACTGCGATTAAGTAAATAATAATAATAATAATAGTGAACAAACGGTCAACAATAATGGTATGTGCCGGAAAGGGATATATTTGAACGAAGCAGCTAAGTGGTTTTGGGTACTATAACCAAATAGAATACGGTAGCAGTAATCGATTGGTACGCGTCGTAGTGTCAGGTAAGAAGTGTGGATCAATGGCGTAGTCCAATGGGCGTCGTTATAGACTTAGCTCTCAGACTAAGGCTCTCCCTGACTCTCCTACACGTCCGTCGATATTTCTGACGGACATCAGCCAATCCCACTCCAGTCAGGGGGAACACAGGTGTATGCATATTCCATTATATTAAATAATATAAATAGTTTCTACAAAAAGTATTTTGGGAGTTTCAAAATGAAGAAAGAATTTTTTTTTTTTTAATCGAGCCAAATTCATCTCGATTCTTTTTCTTTGTGTTTCCATCATGAATGATGAAAAGTTGTAAGAACCTGGAAATTTACTGCGGAGGAATTAACGATTAAATCCTTTTATAGATATTTTCGTCTTAGTGAATTATTTTCTTTTTTAATTAGCATTTTTTATGTAAAATTTGTAGTCAGTTGGTTGTTCATGGTAACGATACTGGCGTGAAAATTGCGTTCAAGCCTGGAACATACTGTCGCAACTCGGTGTTGATCTCAATATATCGTACCTTTATAGCAAGAGACAAATCTTATAACGGAAAAGGAAATAAATATAACTGTTGAAAAACTGGTTATCTTAAAACATTTAAATAGTTCGAGCTTATTAAACAAGAGAAATGAATTGATGGTTATATGTAGGCATAAAAATAAATATCTACTTAAATAAGTTGATCCAGATTCATTTTTAATTTTTAAGGTACTATTTATTTTGAATATAAATAAAAGTTTATTTTTTGGTTTTTATAAGTAATTTCCCTTTCATTAAAAAAAATTAAAATCAAAAAATGAATATCCCCAACTCAAAAATAATTTTTTTTCATTTAATTTTTTTTCTTACATACATATACAAATCCTGTCTATTTTAAATGTCAAATATAATTTTTAAAATCAAAAACTGTAATCCCAGCATAATATATGACTACGTAAACATTCTGATAACCAGATATATTAAAATTCATATTACGTAACAGTTCATACTCAGCACCTGAAGATTGCGTTCTGCGTGAAACTCCGAGTCGTGATAGCGGTGAGGGATGATATGTATATTTATTAATTCATTGACATAAAGGGAAATATGCTGTAACGTTATTCATGGCCGAGCGGTAGAACACACAACAAATGGGGATGCCGGTTACTTTTTTTAGTTATATATATATATATATATATATATATATATATATATATATATATATATATATAGTATAGGGTTGGTTTAGACGGAATAAAATTCCAATAACCTAAAACATTATTCTTAAAAGAGTGTTCAATACAGACTAGAGTAAATAGTATTTATTCAAAAATTATAACAATATGTTGGTTTTGAATTTTCAAGAAAAAAAATCTCTCTATTTCGCAATCAACACCATCACTTGATATGACACTGGAAGTGCTGAAACAAAATGGCTATTTTTGTAGTGATGCTATAGCATATTTATATTATAATTTTTGAATACTATATATATATATATATATATATGTATATATATATCTCGTTAAAGAAATTAGATGTTGACTAATTTGAATTTATTTTAAGGCATGCTGTACCTAAAATAATTTAGTAAGGAAAGGCGATAAATTGAATTAGTCCGGTTGTAAATCGTAGAGGATCTATAGATCATAGTACAACGATCGGCCTATTTCAGTGTCTTGCCTTGTAAAATTCGCAATGGAACATTAAACTTCATTTCGTAAGCATTTAAATAAATAAAAACCGCGTTGAAATTATTTTAAAACTAATTTCTGTAATATAATTATTAATTTAACGTTCATGTAAAAATCGGCCATTCAGTGGTTTATCGTGGGACACGTAAACCTAAAAACACAAACATACGCACATTACATAAGAAATAGAATAAATTCTAAATGTGTACTTATAATTATTTAATTAATTTATTTATTGCTCATGTTCTACTAGTTGATATTGAGCACTATAGTTGCAAAGACTGCATTGTTTAAACGTTTTTGGCAATATACACTTTATATATATATATATGTCTGATTGAAAAAATTACAGATATTATGTCTGCTAATTTTTAGCAAAATCCGTTCATACTCACGAATAACCTTCCGTGTATTGATGTCAAAGGATGAGAGAAATGTGCTATAGCTGTTTACATTTCTTTTACATTTATTTCCCAAGTACTTTCGATCTTCTTCCAAGATCATCGTCAGGAGTGCAAGTAATACAAAATTATATGTTGTTCAAGGGAACAAGTATTTATACAAAGTTGTACGTTGCTATCCATTACCATAATTTTTTCATTATGCTTTTGAATGCAAACGAAAAATTACAGTAATGTATAGCGACGGAATTTGTTGAGAGAGAGAGAGAGAGAGAGAGACTATAGTACACAGTGGTTTTTGCCCCAGCTACGGATTGATAACAGGACAGACTAATTCTTTAACCTTGGATGTCAACCAGTCCATCGCAGAAAGAAATATCAACCTACTGCGGCAAAAATCTTCTGCTTAGTCAGTCATGTCTTGAAAGACAAAAGATCACCCAAGTGTGTATCACATATGGTACTTAACTGACTGATATGGTGATTTACTAAGCATAGCTTTGATGTGGTACAAGGCCGAAAGTATAGCGAACCCAGAGAGAACCGAACTCAATATTCAGCCGTAAGTGATCCAGTGAGACAAGATTGCTAACCATCATACCACAATAATCCCATATATATATATATATATATATATATATATATATATATGCAATCCACGGAGAAAATGTGTGTGTATGTGTGTGTAGAGGAGAAAAGACGTAAATGGAATCAACTGCAATGAAAAAGCAAAATAAACAAAAACAACTGAGTTATATATATATATATATATAAATATATATATATATTGAGGAAAAATGTAAGTGTAATTTTTTTCTTGCGATGTGCTTCGTTCTTTAGGATATCATCGGATATCTAATTCTTTTCTTTTAAAAATTTTTTCCAAATTGGCGTAAATTTTTCTAAAATATCATTCTTGATATATAACAATATATATCGTTATCTCATATATATATATATATATATATATATATATATATATATATATATAAGGCTCAAAAACTAATATTTCATGCTTATAATTTATTACATTGGAATCGTAATCACGATCCAATTAATCAGACCTATAAATTAAAAAAGAAATCGTTTTTTTGAATTTTACAGAATTGGATCGTGATTACAATTCCTATAAAATAAATTATAACCATGAAATATTAGTTTGAGCCTTTTAGATTATATTCTTGCTCTGTCCTGGACATTGAGCTCTACCTGGATTCTATCCTCTTGGAAATCTATATATATATATATATATATATATATATATATGAATATGAAAACAAATCACTGTATTGTCAATACATGCATACATGCACACACACACACACACACACACAAACACACACACACATATATATATATATATAACCTCATGGAAAGTTTACATCGCAAAATATTTAGTCGGTTATATAATGCGATCGTGTAATTGGTAATAATTATTGCTGAGAATGTCTACTGGGTACTTTTATTAGTAAAATCCTGCTCACATTGACATACGTTAAATTTCATAACTTTAAGTACGGGATGATTATTCGAAGGAGAGTCATTAAAATTTTTGTTATGCCTTTAGAGAGTTTGTATGGCGGTGCTGCTCTTTGGGTCAATCTTACCGTTACATATTTACAATTCAGGCAACCAACTCGAAAAACTAAGGGGAATAAATATGGCAGATAAACTCATGGCTAGTTTATATATTAAATCTCTTTACAGTTATGTTTCTTTTAACACATGCTTAATTCTTTTCTTTTAAAGCACACAACACAATAAAAAATAAACCTCTTCCTACCAATAGCTAAAATCAGAAAAATTCTAGACTCATCACAAAGTAATACAATTTAACTTTTAACATTTAACTTTCATATATATATATATATATATATATATATACACACACACACACACATATATATATATATATGAATATGAAAACAAACCATTTATATATATTAAATGTCTCGAAAAATTGATGTTGTGAGTTTTTTTGTAAATGTGCATGAAACACACTCTGTTGTAATTATAAACGTATGAATGTGCTCCGTTATATCAATTATTTGTCTTAGCAGTTCAACCCAGAAGCAAGGTATTAAAGCTACTAAGATACAAGAAGTTACTGAGTGTTACAGAAAATAAGAAAAATACTATTAATAATAGAATAGCAAAAGAAAAAGAATTAAGAACACAGAAGATAAGGATTGACGTTGAATTTAATTTTTTAAGATCAAAGTTGATTGGGAAGTAAGAAGCTGGAAAACATTTCGACAAGTGATAAGTGCGATAGAAGAAACTGTAAAATAGAAGTTACGGTTAAATCTAGCTATTTCATCTGTATTAATCTGGTACTGCGCTTAAATTCATAGAATTTAGCTATCATAGAGGTGGGAAAGTGACTGAAGCCGAGATACCAAGCCAGGACCAATAACGTTGTAGATTCTCCTTTGGATTTTATCAGGGGTCTGTAGATATATATAACAGGAGGAACAGTCCATATGTGGCAGCAAGTCTGAGCAAAAAGTAGACTCGTAAATATGTAAAAGAGATTCTGACAAGAAATTTGTCTAGCATGACACAGTGGATCAACTTTCCTAGTAGAAGACCTAGCAACTGATTCAATATAATCTTTCCATTTTATTTCAGTGAAAAACATTAATCTGAGAAGGCGCAACGCGTCACTCTCCTGGGCGTGGGTAGGTGACTGAAGCCGAGATGCCAGGTCAAGACCAATAATACTGCAGATTATATATATATATATATATATATATATATATATATATATATATATATATATATATATAAACAAACAAGCAAACACTTGCTAGTCCCTGGCATCGGATCTAAGCAGGTAATTTAATTTATTGTCCTTCTTATCCTAAAAAATCTCAGCATAGTACCCTTACACACAGTTTTGTCTTTCATTCTGGCCAGAAAAAGAACAGAAATAGAAAAATCATTTGGTATACACCCCCATTTAACCAAATGGTTAGCTGTTTAAGTTTCTTGCTTTGATTGAGAAACATTTTCCAAGTAATAATCCTCTAAGCAAGATTTTCAATAAAAATACTCCAAAATTAAGTTATAGTTGTACTGATAATCTACAAAAAAAAAAAAAATAAATAAAAATAAATAAAAAAAAAATACATAATAATAAAATTTTAAATAAACACTTATACCTAAATAAAAATAAAAGTAATTCCAAAACGGAAATCAATAATTTTGAAAATAAATTATGTAATTGTAGAAATCCCAAAAAATGTCCATTGAAAAATAAATGTCTTACTCAATCTATTATCAATGCACTATTTCATCTACTGAAAACCCCGATGTTAAGAAATTTTATATTGGAAGCACAAAAACTCTTTTAAATTAAGATGGTACCAACATATTTATTCCTTTAATAACAATGCGTACGGTAACCGAACATCCCTATCTAAATATATTTGGTATTTAAAAGAAATTAATAAAACCCTCACAGTAAAATGGAAATTATTAAAAAAAAAACGAGAATTTGTAAGTCCTTAAATGACCCATGCTCCTTGTGTCTATATGAAAAACTACATATTATTAAGTTTCCTAAAAATAATGATCTATTAAATCAGCGTAACGAACTGACTGTAATATGTAGATATTGTACAATGTTTCTTTAGAAAATACTTAATGGATTTTTGATGAAAAATCTTTGTATTACAATTATATAACCATTATTTCATTATATATATAATGGTACATATAATATTGATTTAATTCCTTGAATTTTTAATTTTAATATTACCATGTATTAAGGCCCATTAAATAAAATAAGTATTGTGTTTTAGGCTCAAAATTATATTAATATATATATATATATATATATATATATATATATATATAAGCGCACATAGATATGTGCATGTACAAATATTTAATTTGTAAATGACAGAATACCCAAGAAATTTGACAAAATTCATCTTTCTAAATCATTTTCTGTTTTTTAACCAACGACATTTTCCAGCAAATACTTGTCAGTTTCCATTTCTCCCTTAATATGGATGAAAATCTTTTGAAATGAACTTTTCCAAAAATCCCAGTTGACGTACACTGATTTTCTAGGGTAGTTATTGCCGTGTTTTTCTTTTGTGAGATAGGTGACGCTTCAACCAGCTTATGTCGATCACATGTCTCTGATAGTGTGTTACTTGGCGTGTATTTATATGCATTTGCATACACGTTAGTCTTTGTATGCTTCTGTGTGTGTGCGTGTGTGTTCTTTGTTATGAACACCTTTCATCTGTACACATACCTGTACACGCATGCGCGCGAATGCACATGCACGCGCGTGCGCATGCGTTCATGGTATGCGTGATCTCGCTTGTTCGTTACGAGAATCTTCTAATTTCTCACGGCTAATGAGACATAATTGACTCTTAATGGAGAGAAAATGGCGACCGTTTTTGGCACGTCGTAATTTCCGGGGTTCATTTTTGGCGGCAAAGGCCGAGGCGGCGCCGGCGCCGGAGTCAGCGGTAATACTGGAGGAGGAAGAGGGGGAAGAGGGGGAAGAGGGAGGGAGGCTCTGCTATAAAAGACGAAATTGGCACATGAGTCTTGTGGGATAAAGAGAGAGAGAGAGAGAGAGAGAGAGAAAGAGAGAGTGGGTTGAGAGAGACTGAGAGAAAGACAGAGCGAGGGAGAGAGAGGGGAGAGAGAGAGAGAGAGGGGGGAGAGAGAGAGAGGGGGGAGAGATAGATAGAAGGATAGCTAGAGAGAGAGAGAATTAAACAAAAACATCCCAAAAAACAAGACCAAAACCAAAACCAAAGCTGAACAAGACAACAGATACAAAAAAAAAAACAAAACAAAAAAAACAAAACAACGAAAACGCTTTTCAAAAACGTTCGACAGATTCCATTTAGACAATTAACGGCCGATGGAATTAGACCAATTACCTTCCTTAACACGAACAGGAGAGGAAGAAATAATATTAAGCAGTAAATAATATTAAGTAATAAACGCTCGTAATAAGCAATAAGTGCGACTACTATTTTTAATAACATAACGAGCGATTGTCAATGAAAAAAAAAAATAAGAGGCGTAATGACAAAGTGGCTTTGCTTACAATGTTAAAATAGCAAATATGATAATGTCATTAAAGATAATGATAATAGTCACAACAGCAACTATAACAGGTATAATAATAATATTAAGCAATAAATAAGGATAATAAACAGTAAAGAAAAGATAGAAATATCGCAAATAATTACTGACGAATTGCTTTGTTTTACAAAATCACTTGGAACAAACGAGCGGAAAGATAATGTTGTTAATAAAATAAACGGTAATAAAAAATGCAGAAATAGTCGTAATGATTTCGTTCGATGCGAAACAAAAATGATAAGAGGAAAAGTTATTTAAAGCTATGATAAATGCTAATATTAACAACAATGGACTGCTTTTATTTTATGGAAAACTGAGGAATATATCTATCTATCTATCTATCTATATAAGACGATGAATCAAAGAAGGTGAAAAGGAAGGACTGTAGAAACATAGAAGAATGAAACAAAGAAGTGGAATGAAAAGAAATAGCGAGAAGAAGAGAGAAAAGAAGAGATAAAAAGAAGACGAATGAAAGGTGAAGAAGCGAAAGAAGAATGAAAACAGAAGAGGTGAATGAAAACAAGAATGGAGAGAAAAAGGAGAAAAACAGGAAGAATGAAAAAAGACCACAAACGAAAGGTGAAGAAATGAAACGAAAAGAGATGAATAAAAAAAAAAGAATTGAGGGAAGAAAAGAAGAAGAAGAAGAAGAAGAAGAAGAAGAAGAAGAAGAAGAAGAAGAAGAAGGAAAGGTGAAGAAATGAAACGAAAAAAGATGAATAAAAAAAAGAATTGAGGGAAGAAGAAGAAGAAGAAGAAGAAGGAAAGGTGAAGAAATGAAACGAAAAAAGATGAATAAAAAAAAAGAATTGAGGGAAGAAGAAGAAGAAGAAGAAGAAGAAGAAGAAGAAGGAGAAGAAGAAGGAAAGGTGAAGAAATGAAACGAAAAGAGATGAATAAAAAAAAGAATTGAGGGAAGAAGAAGAAGAAGAAGAAGAAGAAGAAGAAGAAGAAGAAGAAAAGGTGAAGAAATGAAACGAAAAAAGATGAATAAAAAAAAAAGAATTGAGGGAAGAAGAAGAAGAAGAAGAAGAAGAAGGAAAGGTGAAGAAATGAAACGAAAAGAGATGAATAAAAAAAAAGAATTGAGGGAAGAAGAAGAAGAAGAAGAAGAAGAAGAAGAAGGAAAGGTGAAGAAATGAAAAAAATAATGAAAGGAGAATGAAAATAGCAGAGATGAGTAAAAAGAAGAATTGAGAGAAGAAGAAGGAAAAGGAGAAGAATGAATAGAAAAGGACGAATAAAAGGTGATGAAGTGAAAAAAAAAACAATTAAAAAGAATAGGTGAATGAAAAGAAGAATGAGAGAAAAGAAGAAAAAGAGGAAGAATGAAAAGAAGAGAAACGAATGGTGATGAAATGAAAGAACAATGAAAAGCGAAGAAATGAATGAAAAGAAGAATGAAAAAAAGAAGAAGAAAAAGAAAAAAGAAGTCAAAGAGGACGATGAATGGAAGGTGAAGAAACGAAACGATGAAAAAGGACGTTATTTAAAGCTATTATAAATGCTAATATTAACAACAATGTACTGATTTTAGTTTGTGAAAAAATGGCGAATGTATCCTTGCCATCAGTTCATCTTTGGTGTTACAAGGAATTTTCTTGATCTCTCGCTCAACTGCACTCCACGCATAATAATCAAGGCTGTTGTAGTCTTGGGGCGGGGTGGGTGGGTTAGGTAGCCTGATGTAAGTGTAAGTGTAAGGGGTTACGTTAGGTAGCCTGGTGTAAGTGTAAGTGTAAGTGTAAGGGGTTACGTGGTCGCAAAATTTGTCTGACAGCCATTACTAGGTTCTCCTGCTTGTGTGGCATGGTGCGTAGTCCTGTTGTCAGATATAGTATGTTCCAGCAGCCACCCTTTTGTCCCTCAATGCACTTGATGTCGGCCTCTGTGTTGAGTCTGAGGCCTTGTTGGAATATGAATGGAGGTATAACGTCGCCATCACTCGTAATCACTCCAAACACCTTCATAATCACCATTATACAACTCTTTCCGAACACTCTGCGCCGTCCTCAGATTGACACCCAAACACTCTGAAATGTTCGTATTGGAGATTCTGGCGCGAATGCCATGCAGTACAGCATACTGTTCCCAAATTTCTGGCGGAGTGAATTGCGTCATGGTACTCTTTTTCTCACAGATGGTACCCCAGCAAGGACTACTATAATGTGAAGTCGGCAATGTCAAAGCAAACAACGCGCAGGCGCGAAATTAAAAACATAAAATGGCAACAGTTTATCCATCGCCCCCTGTATATAAAAATACCTTTAAATATATAAGACGACGAATGAAATTATGTGAAATGAATGGCTTATGGAAAGAAGAAGAAGAAGAATGAAAAGAAGAATGAAAAGAGTAACGGAGAGACGAGGGAATGAAAATGAAGAAACGAAGGAACAATGACAAGATAACTAAAAAGATGCATGTAAAAAAAAAAAAAACGAATGAAAAAAGGGACAAATGAAAGAAGAAGAAGAAAAAGAAAGGAAACGACTATGGAAAGAAGAACAGAATAAAATATAAAGAAGGATGAAGAAAAACGAATGAAAAGTAGAAAGATAAAAGATGATGAATGAAATGAAAGAATTATATGAAAATAGGAGATAAGAAAGGAGGCGAATAAAAAAGTGAATAGGCAGAAGAAGAACGAAAAGAAGGATAAAAATATGACGAATGAAAGAAGAAAGGAAAGAACAAGGGAAAAAGAGGAAGGCTGAAAAAAATAAAAAGAAGACGAATGAAGAAAATAAATGAAATTCCGTTCACTTTTATATAAATATCCTTGACATGATTCTGTCTGTTCTTTTCTCGACCTCTAAGAGCTGGGGGTTAGAAGAAATGGAATCATATTTTCTCAAAAGACATTTATGTAAGAATCAATATAGACTAACATTCTGCTTTGGGTGATATCGAGTCTAGAAAAAGTAAAACTCTGAATTCAAAACCAACCTGAAGAGAGATGAGTAGCATTAGTTTTGTAGCGGACCGTGGGTTTAATACGCGTTGTGAAATGTAACACGTGTGGTCTCCTGAAATAAAGTCCACTACAAATATGGCGGACTCAAGTTGAGTCCAACGAAAAGAAATGTAAAAGAGAACAACCAAGAACGATATATATATATATACAAACAGTTATATCTGTATTAACAAACGGATACAAATTACAAAAACAATGTTTATGTGTAACAAATAATTGTGCAAAGTTTGTGTTCCAAGAAATGAGTGAGGGAAATGTTCGTACATATGTACGTGTATGTGTGTGCGCGCGTGTGTGTGTAATGTTCATGGCATTTTCTCACAAGTGGGAACGCGTATCTCCCGCGAGAGCTTTATATGTTTGTAGTTCCCAGAGAGAGAGAGAGAGAGAGAGAGAGAGAGAGAGAGAGAGAGAGAGAGAGAGAGAGAGAGAGAGAGAGAGAGAGAGATCGATCTACCCGTTCATACACGAATGCTGAAAAGTTATCAGCCAAACCAAGTCGAGAACTTTTCAGGTACGGGTTAAGAAAATGGGCGACGATAGGACAATGACTCACACCCTCCTATGAGTTTTTATGAGTGTGCTGTGCGAGGGTGTGTGTGTGTGTATGTGTGTGTGTCAGAGATAAATAGATAGATAGATAGATAGAGAGAGAGAGAGAGAGAGAGAGAGAGAGAGAGAGAGAGAGAGAGACGTTGATCTCTAATGGTATGCCAGTGAACAACACGTTGATATCGGAAGTTATTTAACGTGTGCTTGTGCCTCATGTGATGATTTCATTGTGTACATATGTATGTATGTGGCCGAGTGGCTAAAACGTTCGCTTTCTGACCATGAGACCCGGGTTCGAACCTCACCAGAGTCGATTTGTCAGGAATGACTGGATGCGGCAGAAAGTTCCTGAAAACCATACCACGGGTTGACCCAAGCCTTGTGAGTGAAATTGGGTAGAAGGAACACTTTGGTCCGTCGCTAGCTGTGCTAGCACGTAGCTACAATTCATAGTGGCCGAGGGCTTGAGCGTGCTGGCCTTGTTCAAATTGGTGATCACCCTAATAGACGCCTGTCCTCGAATACGAGTGGCCATGCTTGTTGCTGGGTTTCAACTTTTTGAACTGAGAGAAGGACTTAGTTATACAAACCTATTTTTGTATATTAACCATCTATGTACAGATATTCCTTCAGACAATGACATCTTTCTCTTCCCAGAAGTCCTGCGGCGATGGAAAAGTGGCGACGCGTGTAGGCTTGATAGGATGGAATCACGAGGTTACTAAGCCAAAAGATAGAGTCTGGTTGGATGGTGATCTAACTTTGGCAACTAAAGTGTCTGTGTATCAAACGTGTGTCGTCAACATTACTCTATGCCTCTGAAACATGTACGTTGTATCAATCCCATATAAAACAGCTTGTAAGATTCTATCAGCATTGTATCAGACATATCCTTGGTCTGAAGTGGGACAGTCATGTTCTAGGTATGGGTGTCGTGAACAAAGCCCAAAACATTCAGCATTGCTACAATTGTGGTTAGGAACCACATGCGTTGGGCTGGTCATCTTGTTCGGCTTGATGACTCCAGTCTTCCAAAACAGCCGTTTTATGGTGAGGTTCTTTCTGGCAAGAGACCCCAGCACAAACACCCCCACCCCGTAGCGTATTTTGGGTGTTCCTGCTGATGATTAGGAGTCTCTAACATCTGATCGTGACCATTGAAGGGCTGCGATTTGCCAGGGTGCTGAACTTTTTGAGGCAGCCAGATCGGACCGGGAAAATCTATCTATCTATCTATCTATCTATCTATCTATCTATCTATTCATCTATCTATCTATCTATCTGTGTGTTTGTCACATTAGCTATCTATCTATCTATTCATCTCATTCATCTATCTATCTATCTATCTATCTATGTGTTTATCTCTATTATCTATTCATCTATCTATCTATCTATCTATCTATCTATCTATCTATCTATCTATCTATCTGTTTTGTGTCTTCTTACATTTGATTGGATTTGATTTGTCTGTTTAACGGCGGGGAGTTCATTGCTTGCCCATAGCTGGGACCCTAACAGGTGCTACCACTCTGGGTTAGCAATTAAGAGGTGGTTCCACGCACCTCAAACCTCCAATCTCCCGATCAGAGGCCTTGCTGCTGGATGTAGTTTATCCTCATACCCAGGGCTTCTTATATTTGCCAAGCTAATATATAGATGTATGTATTTAATCTAATTACATCCTAGCTTTCGATGCCTAAATTCGGAAAACATGGGTCCTAATATATAGGGTGCGGCAGAAATACCGCCCACATTTAAAAGGTTAACAAAAAGACCAAGGTAACAGTTATCAAAAAAAAAAAAAAATATTTCACTGTTGTGTAAACAAAGGCCTATTGTTTTTATTCCTTTTGTTTGAAAAATAATATCCTACAAATTGTGGCCTCTATTCGCCATACACTGTGTTCTAAAGTTTTCCATCACTCAGAAGTTCGAGTTCTTCCAGATCTTTTAAGGTTGCTTTTGTTTTTAAATGCTGAACCTGTGGGCCTGAAAATTGTCGATTTTCTATCCGGAACAACATCATTCTGACGTAACATGAAATGAACACGAAAAGCTCTCTGTGTTTTAATTACAGATTCACCAATATGAAAAAAATGTTTCAAAAAATGGTAAGGCATTAGTCAGATGCAAATGCCATTCACACTTCCCTAAGATTACTAGAACCACATACGTTACAGTTTAAAATGTGGGAGGTATTTCTGTCGCACCCTGTATAACATATTCCACAAGCGGAAAGATGAAAACGCGGTTAAATAAATATACAAACTACAAAATGGAATTAAGTACTGAGAATCCATGTCACTTTTGTGGACAATGGTGTAAATCAGAATCTTTTTCTTTTTATGTGCCATGTCCTTTCAGGACGTAGGCGATCATGGCTCTCCACTACCCTCTATCCCTTGCAGCTCTCAGCAAGTTCCTTCTCTCTGCTTTCTCCCCTAGACTACGTTCTGTCATCCACCTGTTCAAGCTCGCCAGGTATGTCACGCGCTGCTTTCACTTGTCTCTCTTTCCCTCTATTCTACTCGTGAGTATCATATTCTCCAGGCCTTCCAACCTCATTATGTATGCCAGAAACTTAACCTGCCTCTTTCTGATGTTAAGTATAAGCCTTCTTCTTGTTTGTAACCTCTCTAAGACCTCATCGTTGCTCGGTCCATGATATCCTTAGCATCCTTCTGTAGAACCACATCTCCGTCAACTCGAGTCTGTTCCTCATCCTCGAAGAAATCGTCCAACATTCGCTGCCGTAAAGAAGAACAGATGTCGCGTAACAACAGTTCAGTATTCTTTTCTTTGTTACCAAAGAAATCCTGCTGCCTACAATGCTCAACTTTTGGAATGTGTCCTTGTCCATTCCAATACTTCTACGGATCCCAGTGTCGCACTTAGCGTCTTCTGGTAAGACGCTTCCCAGATATTTAAACTTCTGCGTCTGTTCTAGTGTTTCCGACCTGCAAATCGCAGATAGTGGGTTGTAAAGCCATAAACTTATAAGAATAGATCCAATGACAACAAAATGCATGTTTCTCATGTTTGCTAACTTTGTGTCATAGGTTTTAAAAGTTTTAGCTTTTTAGCTGTTCAACAGTAAAACAATGAGACCTAATGGCCAATCCAGTAGCACGCTTAAATTCACGCAGTCGAACTACCACTCAAAGGCTGGCTTGATTATTCACACGCGTCGACACAAAGACAGCACAACCTATGACTATGATGTCCAGCCTGATTTCACTTTCAGTCTATGTAACAAAGTGTGCAGTTCAGCGAGTGGACTTACCCGGCATTACACTTCGCATCATCGTGATACCAATGCAGCAAGGGGAAAGCTTACATACAAAACCAGTGGCTTCAAGTGTAGGTCATTCGCTGGACTAATGAGTGACGTCATTAGTGGCAAGGAATCAACAATAAAGTTGTGGAAGGAGTCGTACTTGGACATGAGTTGATTTTGCACCATGTATGTGTTTTTGTAAAAATCAGTTCACACCAAGCATGGTGATAATGCCACTAAGGCGCAAGGGAGCTATTGTGAGTGAAAGAGAATGAGAAGACATTACAAGGAACCGGAAACCCAATCCTAAACAGGAAACAAGAGACAGACCTCTTCTGTTTAAAAGAGTTTGGTTGCAAAACCTTCGGCTTAAAATATAGGTCATTAGATAACATCAGCGGTAAGGTAATATATTGGAAGTTTTCATATTCGGACAAGAGTCGACTTTCCATTGCTAATATCTATCTATCTATCTATCTATCTATCTATCTATCTATCTATCTATCTATCTATCTCAATCTGTTCATATCTATCTATCTATCTATCTATCTCAATCTGTTCATATCTATCTATCTATCTATCTATCTATCTCAATCTGTTCATATCTATCTATCTATCTATCTATCTATCTATCTATCTATCTATCTATTCATCTCAGTATGTATGTATGTATGTATGTTTGTATGTATCTCAATCTGTTAATATCTATCTATCTATCTATCTCAGTCTGTTAATATCTATCTATCTCAGTATGTATGTATGTATGTATCTCAGCCTGTTAGTATCTGTCACAGGTTGTTCATTATCTATCTATCTATCTATGTTACTATCTATGTTACTATCTATCTATCTATCTCTATCTTAATTTGTTTTACCTCTATCTCTCTAAGCTTCTATCTATCTATCTATCTATCTATCTATCTATCTATCTATCTATCTATCTATCTATCTGGCATATAGAGAAGAGAAAAAGAGGAGAGTAATTATTAAAACCACTGATCTATTCATTCTTTTAATCTTCGAAATGCATCTTCCAGACGCGCATTTTTTTTTTTACCGCAGTAATCTTTCGGAGTTAAAAAAAATCCCGTCCTTTAATTACCATAAGTTATCAAAGACAAAATCCGCAGAGTGAATAAAGCAGGCGAATAAGGTCAGTTATCAACATCCGGCGGCTATTGCGATGATGCTATGCTCAAAGTTTCAAACAGTCAGAGGCAAATAGGAGAAATTCAGGACCATTAGGGTCACGGTTCATATTCATGAGTTTTGAATTTCTGCCGGATGCGAGCAGAGAAACGGGATTTTAAAAATCGCCGGAAGTGGCTTACGAATCGTGACGCTTGCGCAGTGGGCTGTTACAACATCACACTGTTGTAAGCAGAAAAAAAAGCTGCTTTTTCTTTAAGTTTTATTTTAAATGATTTTGATTGGCATCAATTAAAATATCGCAAAAAAATGGAAAGATGAAAAAAAAAGGAAAAGAAAATTATATTCCAAATATCCTTTTTAACATTTTCCACCAATTATTTGTTTTTATAGTTCAATTCCTCTTCACACACACACACACATACTCTTCACACACACGCACGCACAAATACATACACAAACACAGATACACACGAATATATATACAAACACTCACACACACACAAATACATACACAAACACAGATACTCACGAATATATATACAAACACTAACGTACACACACAAAGAATTGCATGAACAAACACAGATACATACAAATATATATACACTCACGCACACACACACAAATACAGATACAAACATAGATACACACGAATACATATACACTCACGCACACACACACAAATACAGATACAAACATAGATACACACGAATACATATACAAACACTCACGCACTCACACACAAATACATACACAAGCATAGATACACACGAATACATATACAAAAACTCACGCACACACACAAATACATGCACAAACACAGATACACACGAATACATATACAAACACTCACGCACACACACAAATACACACACAAACATAGATACACACGAATACATATACAAACACTCACGCACACACACACAAATACATACACAAACATAGATACACACGAATACATATACAAATACTCACGCACTCATACACAAATACATACACATAGATACACACGAATATATATACAAACATTCACGCACACACACACACACACACACACACACACACACACACACGCGCGCGCATATATATAATATACGCATGTATTACAAATATAACAAATAAAAAACTTGTAATACAGATTGTGTATATATCATATCCATATACAATTAATATTAATTCTATTCATGTGATTATTTTCAAAATCTTTTTATCAAATTATATCTTAATAAAATTGTATTAAGTATTATTACTATTTATCTTTTTGTGCAGATCATTTGATGTTATTAGCTGGTTTTGTACTTATTGGATATCACGTTACACACCGCAGACTTGAAGATTGAAGATCCAATATTTTTCTCATTCATCGTGTAGTGCCAATTAAACAGGCCTTCTGCATCATATTGTAATTCTGGCAAATCTATTGCTTTCTAGTAATGGGCACAATTTTCTGACACTGTTTCCAATGGCATACGGCCATATTACATCGAAAACAGGGCACACCTTTCTGTTTTAACTATAGCTGGAGAATGAGCGCATATGGACGATTTTGTGCCAGGCGAGTCACACGCATGTTCACGAAAGAATAGATTCACCAAGGAAGATTGCACTAAGGAGGCTATCATCTTCAGCCTCGTAGTGCTGAACCATTCAGAGGCTGAAAGTGACATTTCCCTGCATCATATCATCACCGGAGATGAAACATAATGTCACCGCTACGAGGTGGAATTAAAACAACATTCCATGCTGTACTAACGGCTATATCACGTTGAAACACCGGTTCTGAAACGATCACCGAAGTTAAGCAATATAGAGACTGGTCATTACCAAGATAGGTGACTGCTTGGGAATACGAGCTGCTGTAAGCTTGGATGTTTAATCAATACTGGCTCAGAATTGGAGATGGGACTTGCAATTCCAGTCTGGTTCGTTATATTCTCTTACGCACAAATACCCTTGGGGAAAAGCATAAAATCCACCTTCTCTTCCCCAGCTATGGGTTAATTATTATGACTTTTATCAGTAAATCCTTATTAACACCACGAAAATTCTTACAACCTAAAAATATTTTCTGGCTTTAAATAGATTCATAAGATGTAAAAACTCTCTTCCGGCCTCTGGCTTCCCAGTCAACTTTGATCTTCAAAAATTTTAAATGCAATGCCAATCGTTATCTACCGTCTTCTTAATTCTTGTTCATTTATTGTTCCCTCTCCTTGATGTTTTTCTTTTTCTCATATTCTTTAACACACAGTAATCCTTAGTGGCTTTATTGCCATGCTTGGGGTGAAATGTTTAAGATTTAACACTGTGTCATTTGCATATTTTGTGATTACCGAAACTACTAAACTGTAACAATATAAAAGCAAAAACATATATAAATAGTATTGCATCGGTGTTAATCTTAGTTACCACAAAAAATGAACGTCTCAAAAATGAAACCTCTCTATTAATCATCTGAGAGACACCTTTATGCCTTCCATAACCTCAATGATAGTGTTTCATTGCGTCTTGGGCTAATATCCTCTGCTAACCTGAAGTGGAAAGATTATATTCAATCAATTGCTAGGACAGCTACTAAGAAAGTTAGTTCGCTGTGTCGTGCTAGACCATTTTTTTTGCGCCAGAATCTATCTTACATATTTATAAATCTACCAGTCGTCCATGCTTTCGATATGGCTGCAACATATTGTCACCTGATCCTGCTATGCATTTAGAGAGTCTTAATAAAATCCCCTTCCCACCAAAAAAAAGAATCCGAGACAGCTTAGTATAAATTTTATGGAACTCTCCTGACATTCTCCTCCATAAGATTTATACGAAGCTGTTTGATTAATTGTTCTTAGTAACTAATCAACTAACGGAAAATTCCAAGATAAGCAATATCATCATCATCATCATCATATTAAGCAGGTTTCAGTTGCATGACTTCACGCTGGCGGCGTTTCGTTTGTTCATAATGAATATAATATGGCTAAAGATTGTTTAACCTTGTCAAAAACTGTGCTTTTTCTTTTCTTAAATCGCACCATTCTCTTAAGTGTTGAAAAATATTGGAAAAGTTACGTCAGTCATTTTATTTTTTAATAATAATAATAATAATAATGATGATGCGAATTCTGACCTTAGGTCTCTGGTTGGCATCCGGAAAGAAATGTGTATACATCCGAAATCAAAGGAAATAAAATAATAATAATAATAATAACTTCTACGGGAAGGAAACTGAAAGAAACTGGTATGAACACCACCCAGACCCGGTTACGGAGATAGGACCTGTTACAATTCTATGGGACTACACAATACACACTGACAGAACAATCAAGGCCAACCGGCCAGATATTGTTATTAAAGACCACAAACAAAAACGATGCCTCCTTATTGATATGGCAGTCCCTGCTGACTGCAATGTATCTTTGAAGATATTCAAAAAGTTGTCAAAGTACAAAGACCTTGAAATAGAAATCTCGAAAATGTGGCATATGGGAACATCAACAATCCCTGTTGTAGTTGGAGCCCTAGGACTGGTTAGAAAAGATTGCAGTAGACTAATTGAAGGGATTCCTGGAAGTCCATGCCTCAAGGAGATACAAAAAATTGTTCTGACAAGTACAGCCCACACTTTACGAAGGGCTTTATCTATGTAATTTTTTTTTGTCAGTGGAAAGTGTCATGACCCGGAAAGAAATGTGTAAACGCCAGAAATCAAAGAAAATAAAAATACTACTAATAATAATAATTCAAACAACACAAAAACAGAAAAAAATTCAATCATGAAAGAAAGTTGTAAATGCTAACGAGATTTACATCTAGTAGATTCTGTAGAAAACCAAAACAGAATCCAAGAACCAACTGTTGCAGCAGAAATTTATGAAAAAGAAAGTCAAAGATAAAGCTCTTGAACAGATGAAACAAGACATATCTTTGCATAGCCAATATCCAGAACGAGGCTAATAAAGCCGATGTTGATAAAATTAACACTCATCGATGGTTACGAGCATCTGGATTAAAAGCGGAAACAGAAGACTCTTTATTCTTGTAGCGCAAAACCAGAGTCTTTTCTCTGGGAACTATCAGGCAAATATCATACATAATAGTGTGGATCCAAAATTTCAGATTCTGTGACAAATATCAGGGAACCATAGACCATCTAATCTCAGGATGTTCTGTACTTACACCAAATGGATATAAAAATCGTCACGATAGAGTGGAGCAATATTTACATTGGATAATGTGCAAACACTTTGGAAAAGAGGTTAATAAACACTGGTATGGACATCACCCAGCATCGGTTACAGAAATAGAAGACATCACAATTCTGTGGGATTACACCATCTTCACAGACAGGAAGATTGAAGCAAATAGGCCCGACATAATTGTCAAAAGCCAAAAAGATAAAAAAACAAAAACAAAAAAAAAAACAAAAAAACTGTGCATACTCATTGCCTCGCGGACTGTAACATAGAAACCAAGGAATTTGAAAAACTGTCGAAGTATAAAGACCTGGAAATCGAAATAGAAAAAATGTGGAAATTGAAAACAAGAATAGTATTAGTCCTAGTAGGTGCGCTTGGAATTATAAAAAAAAGGAACACAACAACACATTGAAAAAATCCCTGGAAATTCCAGCCTAAGAGAAATACATAAAATTGTCTTTATAAGTACAGGCCACACATTAAGAAGAACTTTGTCCATGCAACGCTAGTGATGTTATGGGAGTTAGAAAAACAAATTATGAAATGTAGCCATAACAACACACCACTACCTACCTACCTTAGGTCTTCCCGCAGACTTGGTAGGTAGTGAGATCATAGCAGAAATCGAAATATAATGATGATGATGATGATTATGCTTTGTTTGATATCATTGTAGTCGAGAAAGAAGGACAGAGAACTGAGATCAATAATAATAATAATAATAATAATCTGTATTATAATTCTGTCTTTAACGTCTGTTTCAGTTAAATGGAAAAAACTTGATAGTTTCAAATCTTTTCATTTGTACTCCCCTTCCTTATAAATAAATTTATTAATAAAAATGTTTGCAAGACAGGTTTTCGGCTATCCCTATTATAATTATGCTTGTCCGTCCGTACCTTCGTTAATTAGTTCCTTAGTTAGTTCGCACGACCATTACACCCTGCCGATACCTCATAAATAATGGACTAATCCGTATTGACCGCGTGAAAATACGAAACTGACATATCAGAGACGCTATTTGATTTCAGTGAGAAAATGAAAGCAAGCAAGAAAGAAAGAAAGGAAGATAGAAACGTTTAACATCTTTTTCAGTGAAATGGAAAAAGTTGTCAATTTCAAATTTTTTCACGCTTCCTTATAAATAAATTTATTAATAAAGATGTTTGCAAGCAGGATTTCAGATAATAATAATAATAATAATAATAATGATAATTATTATTATTATTAATATTATCATTGTTGTTAGTATATACAATACACCACGATTATTTGTATATATTTTTTGTGTTCAATGTTTTGATGTACAGAGTTATCTCCCTTGCTTTGGTGACGTCAGGTATTAGGCAGTGTCATTATGAGGACAGTTAAGAGGTTGGGGATATGAAAAAACTGTTTGAAAGAGCAAAGTACTTTAATAATAATTGGAAAATATATATTTAAAAATTCACATATGAAATCCCATTATTAAAAAAAATGTCGTCATTTTTGACAATATTGGTAAACTAGTGTTCATATTAAGTGAATTTTATATACTTATATTATATAATTATTATTACTTCAAACATTATTTTAGTGGATACTTCTTATTTGAAATAGGCACCCTATATTCATTTATTAAATAGCGTGTAATACACTTATCGACCTGCGTATTCGAGAAATCTAAGTAAAGAAAAGGTGTCCTACGGCAGGGATCAAACCTACGACAGTGATGTCTGATTTGGTGACCTCAAATATCTCAAGATCTTTACTTGGTCATATTCGATCACCTTCTCTGGCTTGTGGCGGTATCATTTCTCGTCGACGTCTGTACTTACTACATAGGTACCAATAGAGATTAGGGAAGGTTTATTTTTCACTTTTTTTTTTTTTTTTTTTTTTAGAAAAAAGTCAACATTGCACTCAAAGTGAAAGCTGGGTTTGATGTGATAAGTACCAACACGAAGAATAGATTTTGAGCCTTTAGTTTTAAAGATTGTCTGAAAGAAAGCATACAGAGTTACCTAATTTCCTCAGGTCTTTGCTTACAAACTGGACTAAAAATTTTACTATTTCAAGAATAAAACCATATGAAGTTAATATCTTTTGCATTAGATACATTGAACGGAAAATATATTCAAACCAAAATTCTAATTATGAATCACCACAAGCAAAATATTCATTTTTTTTTACTACATTCCACAAGTAAAAACTGTATAAAAATAAGTGTAAAAGATTACAAAAAAGGCTACTGAAAGAATAAGATTTGTTAAACCATTTGTTAAATCATAATTAACAAAGGCAAAAAAAGATAAAAGTGTATATAACACCATAACATTGCTGGTCACAAATTATAAGACAAAAATGTTTGAAATTTGCATTGTTTATTGAAAATCACATTAAAACTACTGCACTATATAATATAGTCCATCATAATATAGCTAAATTGTTCAGTATAATTTCCCTTTGAAGTAAATGATGATCTTATTTGATGGCACAATCATTTAGTAATAATGTGCGTGTGCCATTTATCTTTGTACATATACAATTTGTAAAGCCTCAGTAAATTATGAATTTTATAAGGCTGTGGTATAAGGCCTTCACTGATAATCGGAATAAAATCCCAACGATACGATTTTGAACTTAGACTTCATCTTTAAACACTTTTCCCCCAAAACGGTAAAGATTTGGAAA